ATTTACTGCAATACCACGGGGACAGACAGCCTTCACCATCCTGAGCTTTGCAATAAGGAAGCTGCTTGCCTTGGGCATAATTTCATTAGCACATTTCTTTAGCCTGAGATTTCAGACTGTTGGGAACACACTGGCTGGAGTCTCACAGCACCTGGGCTAGAGCCTGGCACCAAGAGAGAAGATGGTAATGCTCTTGGAAATAAAGACCTCCCTCTAAGACTCTCTGCAGAGTCAGGGAGGTCAGTGGCTATGGGGCTCCTTTCCACAGCACAGGGTACTAACAGTCATTATTACACAGGGGGTGCATTTGCAAAGGGGCCTTATGCTGGCACATCGATTATTGCATGAAATGTTTCCTCAATTGATTACATGCATAGAAAAAAGATTTTAGATGCTCCTAGCAATTCCATTAGACAGATGCACCAATGAAAGATTGTTCTGGAGGATTGAATACAATTGATTGTAGGTGGAGAGATAGACGCTGTTTTAAAACCTGGCTTAACTGTTTTTTTGCCTAGACTTTACATTGTTTACAAGAACACAAAGTTATAAACTAGCTTGTTCTAAACCCTGAAAAGACATCTAAAACAGTTTTTTTGAGATCTAAACTACTCCTTTAATAGACTGGGTGGCATTTTCAAAAGCACCCAGCATGTGTCTAAAACTCTGGCTGAAGTCCGTGTTACAATGCCTGAGAGGGGACTTCAGGCAGTGCTGAGAGTTTCTGATGACACCACCCAAACAGCAGCAGTACCATTGAAATGCTAAATGACAATGAAGGGTTCAGTTAACAAGTTCTATGACAACTTCTACAACTACATTTTTCCTTCAGAACAGGTCCATTTTTCAGATACATGATGCCCAAATATGTGGGATGGAAGAGCCAACCCCTGCCTACTCTACACAGACTTCCCTCTGCATGCATAGAGGGTGGGTAAGGATCACCTTGGCATCCACAGTACTTTCCTTCCCTGAATATCTGCACTATTTTTAACATATTGCATCTCTAAATGCATGGATGGGAAGGCTTTGACTGGGACAACATACTATCCATTCTGCATATCCCACAGGGGATTAATTCCATAGGCAATATTACTTTTGCCTACATGGCTGGGTTGGAATCACTACAACTGAGCAAGAACATGAAACAATATTGTGAAATCTGAATTTCCTTAAAGTTTCCATACCTCCTGAGGACTCCCAGGCTCTGCTTCACCACACACCACTGGAACAACCCTGGAATCCCTTTGTCTTTCTACTGCCCTTGCTTTTTTCCTCCCAAACCAGATGAGTGATGTGGCTCATTGCAGGCAATCATTGACACAAAAGAAACTTGAAGACATTAAAGTCCTAGTTCAACCTCCTATATCAGAAATTTGTTGTTATGTGAAAATAACAGATTACAAAGCTTTGTCTAGTAACCTAGTATCTTCCTTAAACAGGAGAAATAGGAAGATTTTTGAGATCCTGAAGAAAAGACATGCTTCTGAAGAAGACCACAGGAGCTCTGAATGAGCAGAACTTAGTTCTCACCAGTAGCTGGTGATGAATGTTGACGTTTTTCAAAGACATTAGGAGGATTTCTACAAATAAAAAGCACGCAAATATAAAACTTGTAAAAAGTACTGGGCCTGGAAACTTATCTTAATATAGTACCCAATGTGGTAATCAAAATACTGCATATGTAATCAATAAACAGTTTTATATTATCACAGGGACAGAGAAAAACAGTGCTTAACTGGAAATATCAGTTTGGACTCATCCATTTGGTAACTGGCGATTCTGTTTAAATAAGGCACAAATATTAGCCTTTTTGTCAGATCACTGATAGTAAATGGAAAAAATTCCTTAATATTATCAAGTTAAAAATGTACCTACAGCTAAGTTCAACATAGATAGATGACTGAGTTCTTTCTGAACCCATACATCCAAAAAGAACGCACTATTTAATGAGTGTAAACACTGTATGGGCTTTACAAATAGTAAGAAAGCAATGTGGCATTAAGCACAGTAACATTTTGACTGAAATAAAAATAATTCTAAGTTTAATTTTATCTTTCATCTTCTGTTTACTTCTTTTCAGCCTGCATTTTACTCAAATTTCACTCAATCAATGAATTACTATGCCTCAATTTTGAAAGATTCCACTACCAAGCTTTCACTTTTATGATCCTTATAATAACTATAAGAATATTAGCAGCCTTACATGGCTTCCATATTTTTTTCACAAAGATGAGAACGGGACAATCTATGTGGTAACAGAAGTTCAGTGCCTAACTCTCATGTAAAGCCAGTAAGATTCATTCTATCAGAGAGGCATTTTTGAAAACCACTTTTTCTGGCAGCATTCCTGGACTTACGTGTTTGATGGTTTTGCAAGTTATAATGGCCATAATTTCAACTTTTTGTTGTTGTTTTTCTCCTTAAGACATCAATACTGTTTATTATCTCTAACAAAACATCATTTTAGATGGAACCATGGGCAGAAATACCATGTCAGATGCAAAGGAAAAGAAAAAGTGAATCTTGTCAACGACATGCAAAGACATAAATGAAAATGAGTGAGGAAGTGCCGTTAAGAACAGAAAGCTTTGTGTTGCTTGTCTTCCCTTAGACACATTTGGCAGCACTGCATTTAGGTAATCCTTAGAACCAGCAAAGAAGAAGTTTAGAGCAAAGATTTTACATCATGTTTATGATACTTTTGATTTTCAATAGGAAAATACTTTGCCAAATAACATTTTTATGTTACTAAAAAATCTTCACAACCATATTGATACACAAGAGGAAACCAAAGCACAGACGAAGACTTTGGAGTACAGAACTCTGGACACACAGCCTCTGACTCTGGAATACTGAGATTCTTTAGCAATGCAGACTGCAGATGCCCTCAGGAATGTTCACACTCTAATCTGGCACAGATATTTCTTTAAGACTGTCACTTTTACAAACTTTTACCTTTATTGCACTAATTTAGAAGAAAGTATTTCTGAAGACTCAGTAATGCCCCAGCCGTTCTCATACTGGAAGAAGCTTAAAAGTTTGCATTAACAAATCAAAGTCTTAATCTACTGAATCTCTTTGGTAAAGCATCATCCGCTGCCTCTGAATGATATGGATCTATTCTCCTAGGTCAGCTGCCTTTCTATAATGCAGCCAAAAAAGCCCCTTTCCATTTGTGTTGGCTAGAAAGAAAATTAATTCATAAAATCTCAATGTGGCAACTGATATTAGACTTTGCTACAAACTACAGTTAAGATATTAAAGCATGATCTGGTCAAAATACTGACCTTATTAACATGCGCTATCAGGCCTATTCTGAGATTAAGACTAACCATTCATGCCAAGGATGGAAAGAGAGAAAGAGAGAAAGAGAGAAAGAGAGAAGGAGAGAAGGAGAGAAGGAGAGAAGGAGAGAAGGAGAGAAGGAGAGAAGGAGAGAAGGAGAGAAGGAGAGAAAGAGAGAAAGAGAGAAAGAGAGAAAGAGAGAAAGAGAGAAAGAGAGAAAGAGAGAAAGAGAGAAAGAGAGAAAGAGAGAAAGAGAGGTTTTGACGAGAGTTTGAAAGAGCTGGAGAACATTCTTCTCAGGCACAGCTGATTTTATACCCCTGCGTTATTTCTGCCAACCGCATCACAAATATCCTTCAAATCTGACAATTCCAATCTGCTGACACTTACTTCATGTCTTTACTATCTTGAGCTACTGTGCAGGACAATATACGTAAAGTAAGGTGGGAAAGGGGAGGAAAACTAAAACATTAAAAAAAAAAAAAAGAAAATTAAAAAAAAAAAAAAAAAGCTGCTCCATACAGCAGCAAGATTTTTCAGACTTTAAGATATCCAAATATTCCTCAGGAATGCTGCCAGGAGGACAAATGCTTGTTCTAAATACAATATGCATCAAGTTCATTTATTCTCCTTCACTGAATTCAGAAAGAGATTTTTGGTTGTTCAACTTGGACAAAATAAAAGTTGGCTAAATGCAGTCTCAAACTGAATCTGTAACTTAAGTTTTCTAGTGTTAAAAGTAATTTTCAGTCATGACTCTATAATAATTTAACTAAATGTGACTTCTTAGTAACTAATTCAGTCTACCTTCAAAAAAGGCAGCTGCAATAAATGGAAACAAAATGGTTTAGAAGAGGCACAGATAAGTCTTCAAACCCCATTAAAATGTGGAAAATAAAAAAATAATAAAAATCTATCAATTCCACTTACACTTTCCTTTCTGAAGATTTTTAGGTTAAAGTCTACCAAGAGAAACCGGATAATATGTCTTTAAAGTGTCTTAGTTGTAAACAATTCAGCACTTCATGTACTTTACAGAGCAAGAAAAGCACACGCTAACTTTCTGAAGTCTGAAGACGGCCACACTTTTAGTTTCAAGTTCCAAGTTATAGTCACAAGAATTTCCATAATTTAAAAAAAATTTCCTTTTCAGCCCCCTTTTGCTGAAGCAAATTCTTTCCATAGAAAATCATTATTGCTGTTTTGTAGATTTGAATTTATCTTCTAAGATAGTTAGACCTCAAAAGATTAAGGCAATTATTATTAATTACAGATAGCAACATTTGTACATCTCAGACAAATCAGATTGCTCGGTTTATTTCTTATTTAATGGAATTAATATAGTACCTTCAAAACCTGGTTACCTGTTAGGTGGTATCTTTCCTGCTGCTTAGAGGAAGAAAATGCTAGGAAGCACCATATGCTTGCTGTATTTTTAACACAGAGACTAACTAGTACCTGATTTAAGAGTGCATTCATGTATTTAGCTCCAATTTGTGGACCTAACTACAGCCAACAAATGAACTGGGTAAACCTAGAAGCAGATGTCCCAGTGGCAGAAAATGCATTCAAAAAATTCTCTTCAACCAAAGTGAATTATTTTTAGAATCAAAGACTTCTTATTCCTTTTTAATCTTTTGGTTATCATGTTATATGGAGTCCTGAGTAGTCTCCCTTCAACTTCTGATGGGAGTAGTTTCTCTTCTCATAGTTTTCTTACGTTTTATTTCCACTGCTAGTGCTGGATAAGCTATCCTTTGAAATATTTAAACCATAGTGAAAAGCAGAACTCAGTTTACATAACGACACCACTTCTTGAAGAAGCCCACCCTCTTCCGGAGTTTCATTTCCTTTCTTCCCCTCTTTTTCCCAGGGGACCAGAATGGATGGATGTTGAGCAAGACTTGCTGGGTGCTGATCTTCTGAGGTATTGCTTAGTGTTTCGTTCTGCTTTGCATACCTACAGGAAGAATAGCCTGGTTTGAAACTTTCTAGAGAAGTAAACTGGGCACTTGATCGTACTGGAGACAGGGATGTCATACTAGTGGTGTCCATCTTGTCAGTAATACAGGTTTTCTCACTACTTTCTTCTTCCAGCCTTGAGAGAGATTCTCTACGGCCACCAGAAAACACTTGCTTCCTTGGTGATGGAGGGAGCTGCTTCCCATGGAGGATGCTGTCATCCTGCCCAAGGTTCCACTCTGTTTGATCATCAGCATTGCTGCAGAGCAGAGTAAGGTTGCTCTCACTAGGTGCATTTGATTTGTTCTGAAAGAAAGAACATGTGTTTATAGTTAATGTCACAAGAAACGTCTCTATGCTAACACTTTAGAAAAAAAAAATACTGTAAAGAATTTTGTGTGTTCCTAAATTATGATTTGGGTTCAATGTTACAAAACAACAATCCCAGAAACAATGTAAGATCAAGTGTGCTTACACTTCCTCACCAGAAAACTGTCTCTTACCCTAAGGATTGCCTTTTCTAAGAGAAATGATTTCTGACTCCCCTCTCCATTCAGTCTTTGCATAAGCAGTTTTGACAGTGAACAAAGACACACTTTGCTGGTTTGTACCCATAATATGAGACAGAGCTGGACTGAAACTAAAACCAGATGCCATTTCCTCTTTGCTTCAGTAATTAATTATACCAACTTTCAATATTAAATTTTTGGGGCAAAATAAACAAAAATGGGTATTTTATTAATGTGACCCCTATGTGACACTCATAATAAAAAAATTACAAGCTTTTTAAACATTTGCTTCAGAATTTGCTGTTCCAGTAACAAATTTTCTACTACAGGATCCCCTTCAGCAAAAAGGAATGTTGGACAGCTGATATGAGCAGGAATTCAAAACCACTAACATTTATTTTGACTAACATCACAGGAGTGACTTAGTTTTAAAGTTGTAGGCAAGCAGTTTGTTTACACTACACGTCCTATGCATCTCTACCTAAAAAAGGATCAAGGAGCCCTCTTGGAAAGTTCTGGAGTACTACTATAGCTGTGTTTCGGGTGCTATTACCATATCACCATATTACTATGGCTAGTTTAATGATGCAAGGTGGAAATGGAAATAAATATATTCTAATCCACATTAAAAGGCTAACACCAGCTCTGGGAATACCAGAGCCAACAGCTAAATATAATACTAAGTAAATTATTACATTAGTCACAGCTCTATATGTGCCTACTGTTACCTGGGGAAAACACTGATCCAAAATTACTTCGTAAACTGATGTGTAACCAACCTCTTGGCTGGAACAGTAGTGCAGTAGCCAGTATGGTTGCACTGTTACAAAGTCCTAGGAAGACAGATTAGCAATTCTAAGGGATATGCTACAGTGTGTAAACTGCATGTTATTGATTCCACAAGTGCAGAATTCCACTATAAAGGGATTGGAATTGTTTTTCAAATGAAAGCAGAAGACTAACCGCAGTCTTGTAATCAATGTCATCCATTGACCTAAAGAAATCCAGGCTCTTTGCTCCTGAGAGCTTTCCTTGATCTGAACTGTGTGTGCTCAGCGTGTCCAAAATCTCCCCAAGCAAGTCCATTTCTCCTTGATGCTGAGGAGTTATTCCAGTTTCACCAGAATCATCGCTATCATAAAAGTAAGCAGAAGCTTCTTCACTGTCTTCTGATGATAATCTGAAAACAAAAACTTTTCCATCAGCTAAGAACATATAAGCCATTTTATTACAGACACTTCTGAAAGTAAATAGCAGAAAGCATTCAAAAACTTTTGAAAGGGACCATAAACCCAGAATTTCCTTCTACTCAAGGGCTTCTTAAACCTAGATATATTGATGGAGATGCACTTACCATTAGCTGGTTTTCCCGTCTCCCTGCTTTTCCCCCATCACTGCAACTACTATTTCAAGTCACCCTTAATATGATTTCCCAAATCTTCACTCCAAATTTTACAGTTATTCCAAAATTAGTTAATATTTTCCCTTGACTGCACCTTATATCCAGGTCAGTGTTGCTACACCTCTCCAGCTGACCTAGCCACATACTTTTGTGTAGTGGTGAGACTCTCACACTGCGAATCTTCTGTCATATGACCAGAGGTACTGGAGAACTGCTTCTTTTCAAGGAGAACTGGTGGTTTTGTCACTTATTTTCCTCTGTCATTCATTGCAATACCCGTACCTCTGACCCCCCTGTTACTGCAGCCTTTCCCTATCTCTGTCTATCCAAACTACTACTACAAAGGGCATTTCCATGGCTCACTGTCTTGATGACAGCCTTAGAACACTTCCGTAGCTCAGGCTTCCCAACTGCATCAAGGTCCTTCACAGTTTATATCCATTATTATCAAAAGTTGTCTCCTGATTTCAATCAGAGAATGCCTCAGTGCAGCCTAAACCTCAAGTTATGATTTTCCTTTAATTCACAGAAGACACTGATAACTTGGCAAGGCACAAATTCTCTTTCAGACCCTTCTGAAAACTTCCCATTATCATGACCACAACACAAGACTTTAAGAATAGATTAGCTGAGGTCATATTGATTAGCTGAGGTCATATGCCCACCATATCGATGAATATTGTTTTGCTGCTTCTTTCATGTATGGAGTCTTTTTATCTTTAGTTTGTGAAGACTCAAGATTACTGCAAGCTCTTCTAGACACTATAAATAATGAAAACATACAAAAGCCCGTTCTTCTTTTTCAAAGCAGATTTAATCCTAAACCATTCAACATCATCTAGGTCAAGAATCAAGCCTGGACAGGAGAAAGATGCATCACTTGAACTCAATTTTGCTGAATAACACTAGCTACCCTTTCTCGCAAACATACACACACACCCACAAGGCTTCTTACTTGCTTATTCTCTCCATTTCATCATCTTCATCCAAGGCAAAATCCTGATTACTGAGACGCTGATTGAAACGAGTCTGGAGGATAGAAAATTAACATTATAAATTTTGTTTATTTTTTCCATTTCAGCATTATTTATTTGGAGCCTAGCTGCTACTTTAGTCATTAAGACTTCCTGAGCACTTGATGAGGAAAACCACATATTGATCAAGTCTTCTAAAGGTTGTTATAATAGGATGTGAAGTCCTCAAGCGTCACCAATTAAAGAGGAAGAGAAGCAATTTTCTTCAGGGCCTATGGAGGGCCTTATTATTTATGCAAAGCCTGGAGTGCCTTATTACTTATGCAAAGCCTTGATTAGCAGAAGACTGGCTATTGGAGGAAAAACATCACTCAACTTACTAGCTTATCACAAGAAGCACTATGGTTTACTACTTTCTGATAGAAATATTGGCCAAGTTTAGGTTATTGTGACCTGCTGAGCATGAGGAAAAATTGATTTTTGAAGTAGCAAACACAAAAGAAATCAGACGTGTCTTTACATAGCTATATTTATGTTAAGGTGTTAAACAGAACTGCGGAACAAGTAGTATGCTAGCTCAAAAACTGTACACCAAGAATGCCTTTGTGCAGGATGATTCACTGTAAATTACAGTTAACTCAAAGTTAGTGTACATTCAGCGCAACCCATGGAGAGCTTTTGTAGAGTAGCTAGTGTGCTGTAAATTCACATACTACCGTACTGAGTACTCACTAACCTGTATCTATGTAACTATATCACATTATTTAGCAAACAGAACCAGGCGAAAAGTTTCTCCAATACTTGGAAAAAAGTCTCTATCTTGACCAGAACATTAAAGTCGGGTATTGTAGTCACTTGTGCTTCACAAATTGCTATCTTATGGTCCATGAATCTCTCCTACTTGTTTTGTTTCAAAAACCTGCAAGGCTAACTATACAGGCAATCAATCCACTGAAGAGATTCTGAACCTTGGAAAACTGACCATAGCTTAAAGACATATGGATAGAATTTGCGCAAAGGGAGAACAGTGTTCCCTAACTTTGAAGAAAATCACATGCAAGCAAAAATAAGTGCTACTGCCCGCGTCTCATCATGTAGTTCACCAAATGCTTAAACCTGCAACAAGCCCCTGATGGGGAAGAAATATGGCCTTAATTTCAGACTACAAGGAGCTTAGAAATCTGGTACTGTGAGGATTTCAGTATGTCACATTATTACAGATGTTGGCAGTGTTCTACATGTACCAGGACCCTCTCTGTAATCTGCCTTCTCCCACCCATTATTGACAAGACTGTCACAATGTTCACTCTACAAACTGACATACTCTTGTTCGACAGGAGAGGATTTAATTAAATCTGCAGGTTTTGATAACTCTTTCCGTAGGCTTTTGTCCACAAAGAAGAAACGTGTGGTTCTTAATGTGTTACACCAAGTAACAGGCGATAGAAAATGAGATAATTATTAGAGTATTAAAACTTACAAAAGAACCCAAACTAAGTTTCATACCAAGCAAAAGTTACAGGATGGAACACAGAAATGTTTGAGTTTCTGTGTTAGATAGATATAAAAAGATATTTCTAACTCTTTCCCAGTTTTCTCTGTTCTTTCTGTCATCCCCATCAGTATCGTAATCAATCATATCACTGCTTGCAACTAAAGGGACAAATGATATTGATAAGCAGTTATCTCAGTGACTACCGACACAACTACAGTCACTGATTTAGTTTAAAAGTTGCTGCTTTAAGAATTTATCTTCACTGGGACAAATAAAACAATTTCTGTAACTCTGGTAATTCACTACTTCCCCAAGAAAATTCTGACTCAGTATTCACTGTAATTAAAACTTTAATCCTGGGACTGATTCTTGGAAGACAAAACCATGTCTATGTCTCATTTTCTTGGATTTTGCATCAGAATTAGATGCTGCCATCACATTTACTTCTACTAAAACAAACACAAGATTTTGAAAGGAAGAAAATGAAGAACATTGAAAATGTTGAGAAATTTCAGAAAACAAAACCAAACTGGCACTTGTTCATCTGTAGATGGCTTAACTCTGCCAACAAAATAAATCCCACAAGATAACCCTAATTTATTTGTCAGAATAATAAAGAATGTTTCAAAGAGCAGAGATGGCAAGTTTCAAAAAATAAAATGAAAACAAGAAATAATTAAAGAATTAAAAGAGGAAAGGTTGTGTCTTTGAGAAACAGGAACTGAATAAAATTAATTAGAATCTGCAAACACCACAGACACAGCAGTGGCCCCTCAGAACATCTACAAACAGTATTATGCAAGTGTGTTAGTGAAAGCAAGAACAACATCATAGAAAGGAGCCCAGGAGAGCATGTGTTGATAAACAAAACAATACCTTCTAGATCCTGATGGTAAGACTCTCTCTTTGAAAAAAAAATTTGGTTACCACTTTAAATGTTTAGGGGTACAAAATTGTCCAGAAAGACTTTGAAGAACTAAAATAAATAAAACAGGATTTACGTAGAAAGAAAAACAAAAAACAAAAGGGGGAGGAAAGGAAAATATGTGGCTGTAAATAACAACATTCTCCAGAGTTTACAGCTCTGTGAGCTAGCCATGGAGACAACAAGCAACACATGTTTTTAAATAGGTGACTTTCCTCCAGGAGCTGTAATAAAAATGACTGCAAGGGAGGGGGATGTCCAGACTTACTTTGCAAAGAAAGAAAATGAAAGAAAGAAACTCTTAATAAAATCCAAAAGGAGAACATAAATCTTTTTCAGTGCTCCACTAAGCAAAGTGACATAGTATGTGCACCTGCAAAAGCTGTCAAAGTCATTTAAGAAGTCCTTCCGTTACTGACGTACCCTGCTGTTTGCAGTTATTTAAGCTTTTAATTTCTGTCTTTTCTGCATTTTGAAGTGTGTAACCTTTTTTATACCTTTTTATAAAAAAAGGACAGACTTCTGTTTCCTTCCTGATCAGTATTCTAATAGCAACCAGACCATTTAAATTTATTACCGCAAGAAATGATATGGCAACACTCCTTTCTTGCTGCTCCAGAACTTTATAAAGACTTAATAGACTGCTGTCATGCTTTTTTTCTATAAAATGAAGCAACAAGCTTCTTTAAAGTACTCAATTGGTTTGTTTCTTCCAACTAGTTTTGCTTACATACTAAATGTATTATTTAATGTATCTATATCAAAACACCAACAGAGATTCAAATATTGTTGTACCAAACTTTTTTCTCATCTTCAGGCACACTGCACTGCAAGAACCCATCTCTCACTTTGCTAAGAATATGAAGAGTTCAACATACATAAACAAGCATAAAGACAAGTGAATGTTCGCCACAAGCCACTGCTGAACCATCAAGCCTATACATAAAGTACAGCAAAGAACAACTGCAGCTGGCATGAGGCTACATATTATTATAGTATACATCATATACATCCTCTTCGGTTTCTGCTCCACTTTGAAAATCTCATTCTGTAAATGTTCTGCTACGTAGTTGCGATAAATGCTGATCAGTGCAAATAGCAAAAGAAGGTATAAATACGTGTGGAAACAAAGAAAGTGCGAAAACTCTTCTCTTCTGCTTGCTGGTAGCCTCCTAAAATGTTACTACTTTGAAACAAAAATGTAGGCAAAATACATGAATGCTAAAGGATTTAAATGTAAGGTGGTTACATTCTTGATTGGGCATGAAAGTCAATCTTCAAAATGTCAACTTTTTATTTAATGCTAGACCTTTCAGAAGCGCAGCTTTCTTGAATGAGTGCTTATTGATTGGTACTGAGGCAGGAAGTTTAACAAGGCTGCTGTTATTAATTGTCCTCAAAGTGAGAAACAAATAATCTTTTGATAAATGGCAGCACACACATAATTTCCCATTTACTGGCTACTCAATACATCAACACGTATAAAGTTTCAAGAAAAGAAAAATACCTACTATGGTTTACATCTGTGAAGTACTGTTTCCTCTTTCTTAAAAATTTAAAGATTATTTATTCATTAAGAGAAAGCAAAATAAATACAAATCTTATGATTCAGTATTTTATTTTACCTATCATTCTCTACAACTCAATCACAGACATAATTATGGCTTCACTTCCAGTAGGGAAGCAAAAGATCTTTCAAGTAAACTTTATAGTTAAGCACAACCCATTGCTTTGCTTTCTGGTTAAAGACCTAAAGCAATGGATAATGAAATCACAGCATAATGAAATCAAAGGAAAGTATTTCACATTACACTCCAGTAAGTGTAAGAGCTGAGGCTGATGGGCTAGTAAGGAAAGAAGAGATACGGAAAAGCAGTATGGTACAAAGAAACACAAGTTTAAATAGTGCCAAGGATACCAATTAGCTACGCGAACACCAGACCAGGATAGATGTAAGCAATAATTCTAGATTAATTTCTAGAAGAAATCCCTTCAAAGAAATTACTTGTGTGGTTTGAGTCACAGAAAGTAACACAAAGTAATGATGCCTCACAAAAATAATGCTCTGGTATCAGAACACTTGTCCTGGATATAAATGAAATAGATGCTATATAGGGTGCCATATTTGCCATTATTATCATCATTATTATTATTATTATTATTATTATTATTACAACTACAACAACACAGGACTAATGGATAATTTAAAAACTATTATGTTAAATAAAAAAAACACCCTTCATCCTTCCTAGGACAGAAACGTTCTCTGCTTTAAGAGAATCAGACATACAGATGATGTATTTGAAAGAACATGAAGTGGCTGGAAACATCCACAGCTGTATGACATGAGACCAGTGTCATCAATTCTGAGAACATGTTAATTAAAATAATAGGGAAACAGAGAAAACAAGTAGAGAAAACAAGTAGGCCCCCAGTGACAGAAAGAAATCCTTTTCTGTGACAATAAAGAGCCTATAAGAGCAGGAAATCCAGAAAACCAGAAATGTGTAGGAAAGAGTACAGACACAGTAAGCTGAAATCAGGAATAAGCTGTACTGCAACAGATCTCCACTGACTTCTATAATGTTAAAGGAAACATTAATATCCATGCCAAGGTGGGATTTTCTGTAAGGAA